AAGCCAATGATTCAGTCAATCTAACTCCCATATACTTCTGCGTAAGTCCTACCATTTATTTTCCTGTTGTTTGATGTGGTCCTCCACTGAAATTAATGTCAAACAGAGCTAGATTCTAGAGGCAGTAGGCTACTTGATCCCATAAAAATTACTCATGTGAGTTCACAGAAACACATCTCTACAATTACTCTTAAAATGCACACATTAAAATATTGTTTAATTGTTTTCTTGTTCAAGTGTAGGAAAAACTCAAAGTGTAGTACACATGGATACCAGCAAATAAAATAACATTATGCACACAAATCCCAAGTGGAAATATACTTGTAGTGACATATTGGGGACCCTTCTTGTGCTTAAACCTGGGCTCACTGCATTTAACATTCTGGTTATAATCTATGAAATTTTCTCTTGTTCTTCCAAAATATAAAGGGCAAACTTGATTAATATAACCAATCGGAGGCCTTCTTTTCCCTTCCCATTCAAACACTGTACTAGAGTCAATAGGTATTTTGAATACATAAATGCTACTGAATTGGGTTCTTGATTAGTTTTTTATTTATACCACAAGATTCTGAGGTTGCCAAGGCAACACCTCTTCAACCTCCTTACATTTATGCTTTGATATGAAACCTCTCATTATATAAATGTCTCACACCAGTCAGCATGACAGGCTACTTTACAAATATGCCTTCAGATAACAGACAGCTACACTCTTCTCTTAAGTGGGAGGGAAAGGCAGGAATAAGATTACCTTCTACTAAGAAGGAGAGGGGAGGGGCAAAAAGAGTCTTTAGCATGTCATTGCACCCTGATCCATCTATTACAGACAATAAATTTTGTATTACTTGGCCAAAAAATCCACAAAAGGGAAGGAAGGAAACAAAACACAGCAAAACAAGAAACACCAAACACATCACACAAGTAAGAGCCCAAGATGCTAGAATTCAGAGTACCCAAAACTAATAACTGAACTATTAGAAACCCAATACTACAGTATATGGTTTTTCAGAACTACAGATCAGGCGGTTTAATAAATCACAAAAGACTTACAAGGAACCTACTGACACTTTTTGAACTCTGATTTGAGGTCTAAAGTGATACTTAGCAATATACCACCAACCTCCTTTACTGTGCAGTATTCAACATGTAGTACTCTATCTACAGTTACGCTCCAGGATCCTTTGGCGAAGTCAGGCTCCTGCAGGAGGAGGGGTCTGCTAAAGATGATTATTTCTGTGTCTACTTTTAGTCTGCTAGACCACACTGAGTTTGAACAGACTACAAACTGATTCAGAATGCACACAACATGGCTGGCTGGCTGGCTGGGTTAGCAACAGGATGGCAATAAATAGTTCCAGAGATATCCCTCCAAACTCTTCCTTGTGCCCTAGAACCCTCTGTGCTGCCAGGAGGCTTTCCAGAGACAGCATTACTAACAATCAGCTAGTTCTACATCTTCTGCAGGCACTTCAGCATAAGCTAAGAAAGCTGACTTTTCTAAGAGATTATTACTAGAAAGAATATGCACAGTTATTTGCAGGTATGGAAAAAAAAAGTATTAAAATCAGAATGGTAGCAGTTTGCATCATTTTACTTCTTCCCTCACTGCCATTTCTGGCTTGCAGCTTCCAGTTCCACTTTTCTCAACGTGACCCTGTGCCACACTGACCACCTCCAGCAGTAAACAAAGTAAATCCTACGCTGTGTCACCAGAGGAAGAGGAGAAAAACTTCCACTTGGGGGCGCATCCAGCACTAGCAAAGCCATCGCTCCTCTGTTCCGTCAATTATGTCAGTTCCAGGTCAGAGACAACCGCCCCCAGCCTGCAGTGACAAAATAACACCACTTACAGATATTTCCAGTCGAATCTAGCAGCAATTCCTCAATTACCACAGAGGGTTTGTTTGTATGGTTTCTACAAGAAGAAATCCCTCTTCACTTGTGAAGGGCAGCACTGAAAAACACCTTACACAGCTGGATCATTTATGGGTTATGCTATCTGCTATGTCCTCAGCATACTGCTAAATGTTCAGGGCATGGACTATCTTGGACCACCCAAGTGCATCTAAAGTCTTGCCATACTGTTTAGAGAGCCAGCTTCACTACACAGCTAATTC